AAGGTAGACGTGGCCTCCCCTCTGCCACATCGGGGTACAGGCCAGGGACAGTGTGGGCTCCCCTCTGCGGGGTACAGGCGGGGGCTAGTGTGGCCTCCCTCTGCCACATCGGGGTACAGGCCAGGGATAGTGTGGGCTCCCCTCTGCGGGGGTACAGGCGGGGGCTAGTGTGGGCTCCCTCTGCGGGGTACAGGCAGGGGCTAGTGTGGCCTCCCTCTGCGGGGTACAGGTGGGGCTAGTGTGGGCTCCCTCTGCGGGGTTCCGGGGGGGGGTAGTGTGGCCTCCCTCGGCGGGGTTCCGGGGGGGGCTAGTGTGGCCTCCCTCTGCGGGGTACAGGCGGGGCTAGTGTGGGCTCTGAGGGACATGTGCGCCGCAGTGTGTCGCCCCGAATGGGGTTGGCAGCAGCTCCGAGCGATGAACACGGTTCCCACCTTGGACCACACTGGTTCTGACTACAGTACAGAAAGCACCGCCCAGGGTTTGACGGTCCCACACCATGAGCCGCACTTGGAATTCCTACAGGAAACCAGTGATGGGACTGATTTTTTCTTAGAATCAAAATTTCTTGGGGAAAGTTCTCCATTTCACCCATCAGTTAATTTCAGAGTAAATGCTTTTAATTTTAAATCAGACATAGTATTTTAAGATTTTGAGTCTCAAACTGTTTTAAAAAAGAGAGAGCGAAAGGATTGGCAATCCCAGCACCACGCCATGAACTACGGGCACACGCCCTCCCAGAGGCACGCCTCACGCACAGTATTTCTGCGAGCGTCTGGGATTGACTTATTTCCTTGTCTTATGGCTCATTGTTCCCTGCTGCTTTGTATGCTTAGCGGCCTTTGAGCGGATGCTTGATACCATGAACTTGACTTTTGGGGTGCTGAATCTTTTTCTTATAAATACTATTCATTGTTGTTGTTTTTCTTGGATGGAGATGATTTATTTAGAAACCCTTTGATCGGTGTGGTCTTGCTTTTTAAAATGTGTCAGATGGAGCCAGACCGTGTCTAACCTGGGACTAGTTACCCCCCGTCCTGCTTCCCCCGCCAATGCACCGGGAGTGCAAGTCCCCAGAGTGGCTGCGGGGCAGGCGGGGCAGGCGGCCCAGAGCCCGGTGCTCCCGGCCCTACAGATGGTCCTGGCTGTGGTCCGGAGCCGCTGGCCACAGGCAGGTGCTGCTCCGCTCTCTGCTAGGGAACCCCCTGAGGAGGGCGGGGGCTCGCTCTGGGCAGCTACCCCCTTTCTGGCACCTCCAGGGCCACTCTTAGCCTGGAGGTTCACAAAAGGAAGTCGCATGTCAGGGTTCTATCATGTTTCCCTCGGGCCGGCCTGAGTGACTGTGGGCGAGTCCCTTGGAAATCACACACACCCCCCCCCCCCCCGCCCTGGAAGGTGATTAAAACGCCCTCAGCTTCCCGGGCACGCTAGGCAGGCAGAGCCCCTTCCGACCGGACTCGGGACCAGGTCCCCGAACTCCTGCGGGGAGTGAACTGTGTGTGCCCGTCGTGTCTGAGCACAAGTGGAAGCGCACCCGGCTCCCCTCCTGGCGGCGCCCCAACAACCTGACCGGCCACCCGCCAGGATGAAGCTCCTGTCCCAGGTGCCCTCGAACCGTTAGTGCGTGTTCTGCGCTTCTCAATGGCCAGGTGATGCGAACCGATGCATTTTCTTTAACGTTTCAGAAACAAGTTCTTTTAGAGAAGAAAATGGCTTATCACTTACAAAAAATGCAACAAAATGGCCTCAGAAGAGAAGACACGGGGAAGAATACACCAGACTACAGAGGACAGGAGGGCGCGTGCTCTGAATGTAAGCGCTCGCGGCAGCGGTGCTTCTGTGGAGAGCACGTTGCTGTGTGTGGATGGAAATGCTCCTGTAAAACGGGGCTTGCTCTCCTTGCTCTGTACCAGGCGCAGCTCTAGATGTTCCCCTATTCCGTTCAAGGTGAAGAGTAGACATGTGTGTAAAAACACACCAAAATAACCTTACAGCGTGGTTCAGTAGACAGGGCTGCCTACGCTGCAATTCTAACCAATTTCTCTAGACGTAAAGTCCTGTCTTCTTTGCTGCTACAGTGGTTCTCAACCTTCCTAACGCCGCGACCCTTTCATACAGTTCCTCATGTTGTGGTGACCCCCAACCATAAAATTATTTCCGTTGCTACTTCATAACTGTAATGTTGCTACTGTTATGAATCGTAAGGTAAATATCTGATGTGCAGGATGGTCTTAGGCGACCCCTGTGAAAGGGTCGTTCGACCCCCAAAGGGGTCGCGACCCACAGGTTGAGAACCACTGCTAACACCTAAAAAAGTTGCATGAAAGATAAAGGCCAGGATATGCCAACCGAGTTTTCTGCGATGTCGCCAGCCAGAAAGAACAGCAGTCAGTACCGGAGACAGAGCAAGGGAAGGAGGAGGGCTGAGGACTTAGAGAGGGAAGGGGAGTGAGGGAATGGGAGGGAAAAAGGACATGGAGAAAGTTTAAGGCAGGAACATCAGGCCACGACTTGGCCAGGCCCGATCTCTACTGGATTCCTTTCATAGATAACGTTATAAAACTATTGGGGACTTTATCACATCAATTTAATTCATAACATGAATATTTCATGGCCAGAACACAAAGATGTAGACTCGTTTTAATGATCTGTGACCCTGTAGTATCGGGAACACACGGTCACCCCCCATGCAGCCATCAGCACAGCATCCCAGCCAGCCAGCCTCTGCCCCCTGGTCCTGTGTCCAGGTGAGCGCCTACCTGTGTCACCCCCGTAAGCCCCTAACTGGTCTCCACCGGCTCTCCATGTAACCCACTTCAAACCCATTTTTAAACGACGACGTAACGATGCTTTCAACTCTCCTGACTGTTTCTGTTCCTGGCCCCACAACTTAAGGAGCCCAGGACCTCTCAAACGGAGCTCTGCCTTTGTAGGCAGCCGGTCCTCTCATTGATCGCCGTCTAGAGTCCTCACCAAGTCTAATGTTTTTCTGTATTTCCTGTGTCTCCTTGAAGGCAGCTGTGATCTAGTCGCTAACATGTCCAGGCTCTTGAGCCAGATGCGAGAGTCCACGCCCCGCTTTACGGCGTCCCTACCAGGCAAATAGCTGGAAGGTCACTTCACTCCTCTGAGCCTCACTGCCATCATGTGGAGACAAAGCGCATACTCCTGTTTAAACGTTCTGGCCCACAGTGAGCACTCAAGTCAGTTCACTGTCCAATCAAGTGAGATGAAAGGCTGCTCCTAAAACACACATCACCTTCCGTATTTCCAGGCCTCCCCTTCCCAGTCTCCTCAGCCTGGTCTGCACGCTCACTGACCAGCTCTCCAAACCCGGCTGTGAAGTCAGCTCCAGAAAGCTGTCCTGAATAGACCCAGCTGGAGCGTCCCTCTCCTTGGAGTCCCTGCAGTGCCCTGGGTCATTCTTTTTCCTTTTTGATGCATTCAAGCCGCATTGTTATTTTATTTTTTAATTCATCCTAGAAAGAGGAAGGGAGGGAGAGAGGGAGGGAGGAGGGAGGAGGGAGGGGAGGGAGGGAGTAAGGGAAAGAGAAACATCGATGTAAGGAAGATCAATCGGGTGCTTCCCGTACAATGCCCGACTGGGAATCGAACCCACAACCTGGGCATGTGCCCTGACCGGGAACCCAACCCACCATCTTTTGGTGCACAGAACGATGGTCCAACCCACCAAGCCACACGAGCCAGGGCTGCTTTGTGCCATCCTTGACCCACGTGTTACAGACTCCCAGCCACCTTCACCAGTCCTCACATTGCAACCTCGGTGTTTCTCGGGCACCTAGCATTCTATGCATGTATGTATGTATAGACTACATGTATGTTTGCTGAATGAGCTAATTCGATCAATTCAGCTCATTGGGATAATAACAGCAATGCCCCACTTCAGAAATCACTTCAGTAACTATACATATTCCTTCCTCATCAACTGGGAACTTTCTCACTTAGTAGGAAAAGGAGTTTCAAGTGGGCATTTTAAACCCTTGTTACCTCAAATCCCCCTTTTGTGAAGAAGTAGGTTAGAGGTGAATGTATGCTATGGAGGCAACATGTTTCTCAGAGGACATGAAAGCATAGCTCGGTAGTGATGTCGTCCCCACCAAGCACACGGCTCCAGGGGCACAGAGAGGGCAGGAAGGGCCCATTGAGGGGACCTGCTCCGGTGGGGACGGATGGCTCTGCTGTCATCTCTCTGACGAACCCCTGAGCGCACCGTGAGGACCCTCCCCTTGCATGGCGAGGACCGGGAGCTAGTAGAATCTTCTCTGTCACAAACAAGGGGTAAGTGTGGATGTGGCTGCCTATGCCGGGCTGTGGGCCCGTCTCAGGACTGCAGTGGCCACGCTGGGCTGCTGGTGCGCTCCCCACAGAGAGGAAACTGCACTGTCCACTCGAGCTGGGGTAGCCTCTCCTCTGGGCCAGGAGAAAACACTGGCTCTCATTTATTTATTTTTTATTTAAACTAAAAAAAAAATAATTCATGCAGATCTCCCTCCCCCCACTCCTGCCTCTGGCAACCACCAACCTGTTCTCTGTATCTACGAACTTGGCTTATTTACTTACTTTCAGATCGCACACAGGAGAGAGATGGTCTGATATTTGCCTTTCTCTTCTGTCTTATCTTACATAGCGTAATGCCCTCGAGGTTCATCCATGTGGCTGCAAGTAGCAAGATTTCATTCTTTTTTATGGCTAAATAATAGTCCATATTTTATATATATCACATCTTCTTTTTTATTATATATATGTGTGCGTGTGTGTGTGTATGTGTGTGTATACATATATATATATGTGTGTATATGTGTGTGTGTGTGTGTATACACGCACACACACATATTATTGTTGAAATTATTATAGATGTTTCCCATTTGCCTGCCTCCACCAGCCCGGTACCCACCCCCCAGGTCTTCACCACCCTATTGTCTGGGTCCATGGGCTCTGTCCCTCGTTTGATCAGAAGGGATACTCTTTCAAGACCTGTCGTTGTCTTCCTTTCACATCTCCCCAGCTCCTCATTGCCTCCCCACTGGCCCACTGGCAATTAGCATAGAATTTAATTCCTCGGGCCAGGAAAAGGGGGTCTATCTTGGGTAATTCTGTCTTCACCATTATTAAAAATAAGTGTTTTCTTACATTTCTTTAAGCTTATATTCCAATGAGGAAAAAGAAGGCTTCTGAAGACATAAAGACAATTTACACTGTTGGCGACCAAAAACCAAATAAAGGAGGCTATGGTAATTGATTAGTGAGATAAGAAATACTAAAAAGTAATTTGGGAAAAGGCTGGCTTTAGATGCCCCTTTTGCTTCAATGGAGATACATCCTCTATTCTCTGTTGTCCAATGACTGGTTGAGAGGGTTTCTTACCAGAATTTGATCTCTAACTACTGATTTAGTGTTTCAAACTTAACACGATAGCATCATTTTAGAAAAATTCAGTGAAGGTTCAGCGCCATTAAACAAACAGTACAGGAAACATAACAAATTGCAAAGTAATTTTATAATACTCAAAACGATTTTAGGAAACTCTGAAGTGAGTCATAAATTAAGTACGTGAACTGCAAAGCCACCGTGAAGTTATTTAGCTCATACCGTACTATGTCACGTGTCTGTCAGAGCTCACCCGAACCCAGCAGGCAGCCTCAACATCCTCCAAATCAGCGGTGGCCAACCTTTGGGACCCCACGGACCACCAGTTGGCAACCACTGCTCCAAATGTTACACGATCAAAAGTACAAGACTGTTCAAAATGGAACACTGATCTCCTCCCACAATTAAATTTCCGGGGGAAAGTAACATGTGACAGTTAAGTCCCTGTGTGCTTATCAGTTAGCATCTAAAGAATAAAATCCAAACTCTTTCCTCCCTGAGCCTGTAATTCGATGAGTCTCATCAGGATTCAGAAACCTGGGAAGAGACAGGGCGGCCTTGGGGGCAGCTGAGTGTCACTCAGAACCACTGAGGTCAAGGTCATACATCTTGAAGCTCCATGGATCCCACTTTTATTTTTTTAAATATATTTTTAATTGATTTCAGAGAGGAAGGAAGAGGGAGAGAGAGAGAAAAAGAAACATCAACGATGAGAGAGAATCATTGATGGGCTACCTCCTGCACACCCCCTCCTGGGGATTGAGCCTGCAACCCTGTGACCTTGACCTGAATCGAACCTGGGACCCTTCAGTCCACAAGTAGACGCTCTATCCACTGAGCCAAACCAGCTAGGGCAGATCCCACTTTTAAATTCCAAAGACTTTTGCATAAAACACCAAAGGGGTCTTACAACGAACACAATGATGACACCACTGGCCCCACGTCTACTAAAATGTAGAGCCTGAACCTAAATTCTCAATGTCTAAAGCAATTATCTCACCCACAGTGACCTTCTCAAACTCAGGGATTTAATGCAGCCCAGGCTGGTCTTACTGATATTTATAAAAACAAACTCAGTGGTATTGAACGAAAAGATGCTAAATGGAAAATCTTGTTTTCAGCCTCACCAGGCTGCCAGTCTAGCTGGCACAACTGTCAGGGGATCAGACCTATAAATTTAAGTCTAGTTGGGAGGCATTTTCCACGAAAAGATGAATTCTGAAAGTGCAGTGGTACCTATCGGGCACGGGGTGGGGGTTGATCTATCTAGTCTCTGCTCTAAGAAGAGTGGCATGGGAGCCATTCTTTTTTTTTTAAGATATTTTTATTGATTTCGGAGAGGAAGAGAGAGGGGGAGAGAAAGAGAAACATCAATGAGAGGGAAAATGCTGCTGCACGGGTACGTGGTATGTAAAATGGTAAAACCACTTTGGGAAACACTTTGGCATTTCTTAAAAATTACACACACACACACACACACACACACACACACACAGAAAAAGGAACAAGTTTTAATACATGTGACATTGTGTTAAGTGAAAGAAGCCAGGCAAAAATTAAGAGTACATCCTCTAGGATTCCATTCATGTAAAATAACATTGTGTGAGAGGCACAGAGCAGTAGTGTTCAGGGATGGTAAGAGCAAGATGGATGGACTACAAATGTGGTTGAAATCTTTTGAGGGTATTGGGAGTGTTATTTTGATTTCAGTGATGGTTTCACAGCTATAGACATTTTAAAATTGATAAAATCATTTAAATAAGTACAGTTTTTTATACTTCAATCATACTTCAATAAGTTGTTGGGTTTTGTGTTGTTGTTTTTTAAAAAAACAACCTAGTGTTTTTTTTCTTTCATTTATGTTTAGAACAGACAATAGGTGATCGTCAATCTCCAAGTACATCCAAGAATGTTACCAGAAACTCATCAAATCCAGCTATGTTTCGCGATAACGGTACTGAACAAAAGGTATGAAATGATGCCCCAAACTTTTGTATGGTGAACAGTAATTTACCTGGCGAACGTTCACCTCTGTGAACTCTCTCTTTCACTACTAGCAGGGCACTGACTATTGAGGAATATCAGGGTCTGTTCTTGAGATCTGACCCTTTTCCTTGACACTGCTGAGTTACCTTTGTGTAAACTCATTCTATAATTTAGGAGAAACTAACCTAATCAAACATTTAGCAATTATAATCACAGCTAATATTTGCTGAGCATCTACTGTTGGCAAAGCTCTGTGCTAAGCCAGAGGGGAGGGAGAATGAGAGAATGGGGTCACACAGGATACAAAGATAAGCAAGACAAGCACTTGAGAACTCTGTCTAGCAGGCCAGAGAGACACAGCAAAATGTTTTTACAATAAAATGAGATTCTGGGATGATGAATTTTATTTTGATTCTAAGCAATGTGTTCAGTAAGCATTAGATTAGGTTAGAGCAGATTGGATTATCTTTCCCTGAAATAAACTGAGTGACTCTAAACTTTTAGAACCGACCATTGAATGGACTCCATGATTTAAACAAAACATAGGATATTAGAAGAGGAACAAATTTGTACATTGCTATATGCCGAACTCAATTTCAAAATAGTTAGATTTGAGATTCCCGTGAAAGGTGTCCAAGAAAGTTGGTAAGACCTATTGTTCCTGAAACAATTTTCATGAGAGAATTAGGAGATAAAGGGGTGAAAACAAATCTGTATTTGGTTCATAGAAGGCAAAATCTTTTCCAGTATAGTCACCAATAAATGTTTTTTTCTCTTTAATGTTGTACCACATAGAAAGATGGATTGATAACTAGAAAATCAAGTACTACCAATGGCAAAGGTAAGAAAATGAAAAAAATATAACTGTCTTGTTGTTTATTAAGAATATAATTATGGTTTCACCATACTTTTTCAAGCTATTTGTTTCACCTGATTATAAAAATGGTGGTTATCTTAGAAAATAAAGCATGGTGTAAGATGGCTGATGATTATAGATGGTATAATTAGCCCAAGTACCTGAGTGATTGCTTTGTGAGTGTGGCTTTTGAAATTGGCCAAGTGTGGAAATGAGGGTCCCAGTATGGCTGTGTATCGTGACAGGCAGAGTAAGTTACTGACACTTTATGGCTCAGCAGGTTACAGTAATGTGTCCCCAGGAAGCAGTGCCAGCAACCCCGCCAGACAGCACCTCCAATTTCCCTTATCCCCTTGAGTGGAATGTACATTAAAGAAATAATTAGGCCCTAACCGGTTTGGCTTAGTGGATAGAGTGTTGGCCTGCAGACTCAGGGGTCCCAGGTTTGATTCCGGTCCAGGGCATGTACCTGGGTTGCGGGCACATCCCCAGTGGGGAGTGTACAGGAGGCAGCTGATTGATGTTTCTCTCTCATCAATGTTTCTAGCTCACTATCCCTCTCCCTTCCTCGCTGTGAAAAATTAATAAAATATATTTTTTTAAAAAAAGAAATATTTAGAGGGAAGGCGGGGCAGGAGGAGATTAACCAAAGAACATATGCATGTATGCATTACCTCTGACACAAAAAATAGGGTGGTGAAGGCCTGGGGCGGGGCGGGAACTGGATAGAGGGGAGTAATGGGGGGGGGGGGAATATCTGTAATACTCTCAACAATAAAGGTTTTCTGGTGTGTTTTTAAAAAAGTACATTTTTATTGCCTTCAGAGAGGAAGGGCAAGGGAGAGAGATAGAGAAAGAAACATCAATAATGAGAGAGATTCATTGATTAGCTGCCTCCTGCACGCCCCCTACTGGGCATGTGCCCTTGAGCAGAATCGAAGCTGGGACCCTTCAGTCCAGAGGCCGATGCTCTATCCACTGAGCCAAACCAGCTAAGTTTTTATGTGTCTTGTTAGATTTCTGGAAGTCCCTAAAAAGTTCCTTCCTTACACAAATCTAAATATACAAGCAGAAAACATCACACGTCTCCACCCAGCGGCCAATGATGACCTCAATTCAATACCGTCAGATGCATCGTCTTCCTGCCCCCGTTCACCCAGGAACAAAACCGCGTTATCTGGGACTCTTCCTCTTTCTTGTAGTTTGCATCCCAAAGTGGTCTCTTTCTGTCCAATCTGCCCTCTTTATTTCCCTGGCCCTCTCCTCTGCTCCATTCTTACAGCTCCTGCCCAACGTTAGTCCCCTTCCTCCCACTCTTCCTCCTCCCCTTCATGCACCATGCATTTGCTGTGAAAGCGTTCTTCCTAAGAAAACAGCCTTGGGCCCAGCTGGCATGGCTCAGTGGTTGAGTGTCGACCTATGAACCAGGAGGTCATGGTTCGATTCTGAGTCAGGGCACATGCCCAGTGTGGGGCATGCAGGAGACAGCTGATCCATGATTCTCTCTCATCATGGATGTTTCTATCTCTCTCTCCCTCTCCCTTCCTCTCTGAAATCAATGAAAATGTATTTTTGAAAAAACACACGAACAACAACAAAAACCCAACAGCTTTGGTCATTCAAGTTGTTAGAAGTTTTTCATTGCAGACTGAATGACGTGAAAAGTGTTCCAGGCCATGGTCTGTGGTTACTTATAGGGATTAAGCTGGTCGTAATATTAAATAAATTAGGAACAGAAGTTAAGGATTTGAGACTTTTCCTTGGAACCGATGGTGAACCACTGGAAATCTGTAGTCAGTGATCATCGAAAAAGGCCATGCTATCATTTCATTGTATTTTATTTTATTTTATTTTATTTTATTTTATTATTTTATTTTATTTTATTTTATTTATTTTATTTTATTTTATTTTATATTTTATTTTATTTTATTTTATTTTATTTTATTTTATTTTCCATGCTATCCTTTTAGATACTTCTTTAACTCAGACAAATCCCCCATATGGTAATCCAGTGACTGTGATAGCTCAGCAGGGAGAACACTGGATCAATTCTACTCATTAATATTCACCCAGGCCTAGTGGTCAGCAAACTGCGGCTCACGAGCCACATGCAGCTTTTTGGCCCCTTGAGTGTGGCTCTTCCACAAAATACCGACTTCTGCGCATGGGCCACGAAGTTTCAATCGCACTGTACGTGCGCCCGCACGTGGTATTTTGTGGAAGAGCCACACTCGAGGAGCCAAAGAGCCACATGTGGCTCATGAGCCACAGTTTGCTGACCACTGGCTTAGTGGATAGAGTGTTGGCCAGAAGGGGTTCAATTCTGGTCAAGGGCACATACCTAGGTGGGGATGGCAAATGTGGGGGGTCACCAATCGATATGTCTCTCTCACATGGACGTTTCTCTCGCTCTGGCTCTTCCCTTCCACTCTCTCTAAAAACCAGCGGGAAAATGCCCTCAGGTGAGGATTAACACAGTACACTCGCCCCTGCTCCAGCAGTCTGACCTGCTCTGTGTAAAAGCATCGCGTTTTCTTTCTAGGTGCCGCGTTCACCTCAGCTCCAGGCACTCTTCTTTCTGCTCAGAATTCACCCACAAGAAATGTTCACAAATCCTCACAGTCTTATCTGGGGCCTACAAAAGTTGACGAATACAACATTTCTTTTGGCACACGTACAAACGTAATGAATGAGGTACCATTCTAAGACCATCCTTGGAATCAAAGCATGTCGTTCGCAAAGGGACCACGCAGAGTGGAGCTCGGGCAGGTGCTGGGGAACAGGCTTTCTAGCATCCCTGCCCGACACAGCGTTTCCTCCTGGCGAGGGCGGCACTGGGGGGTCTCGCCTCTGGAAAGAATGGCATTTCTGCTGAGCACCTAACTGCCTTCGGGAAGTGGGAATTTGCTCTGCACGAAGGCAGGGGGTCTTCCATAGGAGCCTTGAGCGCTGAATTTCTCATGGACCCCCCGGAACACTGACTCGGTTGGGTGTTTTTCGTTGCCAGAGAAGAGAACAGGTTCAAGCCAGGTCCTCCAGCAGGAGAGCGAGCACGAGGGCCACTGTGCATGGAGTTCCCCACACCCGCCCGTGCCTTCCCCCGACTGGGCCTACAGGGGGTCAGACCCGCCCGTGCCTCCCCCCCGACTGGGCCTACAGGGGGTCAGACCCGCCCGTGCCTTCCCCCGACTGGGCCTACAGGGGGGTCTTTTTGTCATAAATCTTAGATGTGAGCACAAACACATTCTGAGTCCCAGTGGCTGAACAGGTCACCAAGTGGGTGAGTGCTCCTGTGGCCCTCCTATGATGCCACTGTGCTGTTTCAAATTCTGTAAGTGACAGATGTGATCGAAACAGCACACCATGGACAGGCATCTTAAAAACTGACATGTAAGGGATGTCCTCCAAACCTTAGATTTCTGCAGGGCAGTGTGTAGATGGAGCTGAGGCTCTGATCCCGGGGAACCCTCTGAGGGAATCTGTTTGTTTCGTTGCTTGTGTTACACAGAAGGACATCAACGCTTCTTGGAATAAAAAACAAAACAGGAGACCGAGCTATGGCTACGACGCAGGTAAACACCAGCCCAGCCACTGGGTAAACACGCAGTCTTTTCACTCATCCTTTCCGCCAACACTTACTGGGCTCCAATTCGTGCCGGGTCTGGGGCTGAAGGAAGAAAACCCAGGGTTCTCACCCAGGGCTGTGCCCGTGAAGTGGGGGGACAGGCCTGCCGATAACGGGGCACAATGCAATAAGTACGGTAAAGACTGCGTGTGCACACACATCGGGGCAATAGAGAAACAGCCGGAGATTTACTGACTCCGCAGATGGTGAGCAAGGCTTCCCGGGGGGCTAACGCAGGCTGAAGGAGACCAGAGAGACACGTGACAGGAAGGCAGAGGGTCCTCCCGACAAAGGACGCAGCACAACAAGGACTCGGAGGCACGGAGACGGGGTCCATGAGGGAGTTATAAGTGTTTCTGTGTGTTTGGACCACAGTCTATACCTGAAAGACCAGCTGAGAGGACGCTGGCCAGGGAGGTCAGAACAGCAGAGTGCAGGTGCATGCTATGCCTTGCTAAAGGAGGGTTGGCGCTTCATGACAGTGAGTTTCTGCAGACTTTAAAACTAGGCCGGGACAGCAGAGAATAGACACCCACTGCAGGGGAGTAATGGCAGTTGTATAAGTTGCTAGGGAAGGGTACCGACTGTAATTTTCTTTTTCTGATAAACAGGACTACAGGATCCTGACCCAGTCCCAAATACTTTCCCTCCACCATTTTTCTCAAACATGTAAGTATCTAAGGACATTCATGTGTCGTTGTAAGTTAGTATTTTCATAATCACACAAGTTCTAGTCCACCGTGAACGGTATGCCACTGGGACGTAGTGAAGGCTCCGTCTGCGGGTCCCGCTCAGCACTAAGCTCAAATGCTGGAGTAGACAAGGGGGTGTTCTTCCTTCCCCGCCTGCCTCTCCGCTCCGCGGCCCCACACTCTCCCTGGGGGATTTTCAGGCAGACGTGTTTTATGCAGTTTATACAGGTATGTTCTATCACTCCTCTGAGTAATAAAGCATGTGGGTCAGTACAGGAGGAGGAGGAGAAATGGGTGGGTCTTGGAGGTGGGTTGACAAAAATAAAGTTTATTCTTCCTTTTGAGTTTCTGTAGAAAAACTCTCAGATATAAAGGGGAGACACTGGTCAGAAATGATCAGAAATTTGAGAAAAGTTTCCATAGATTTTTGGCCTTAAGTAATAACTCAATGATCCCCTTTCTTGACTTTACAGGCAACAGAATTACCTACAAAAAAAAGTACGTATCATAAAATCCATTGATAAAGTAGCATATTAATAATACTTTCTACTGGGTCATAATAGGAAAAGAGCTGTGAACCAAATAATGAGTAATCCTCTCTGGCTATCAGTCTCTCTCTTTGCCCTTATTTTCTTCTTTAATGTTTCCTTTTGGTTAATTCTTGGATTTTGTAGGGGTCTAGAGTTCTTACCAAAGGGGATGCTGGCCTTGCAGGAAGGGGTCTCATGGGGATAGAAGGGACAGGGGCGTTAAGGGACCTGCCCATTATAAGGACATCATCAGACACACACACCCACTCTCCCATGGGAAACCGTTAGTGCAGACTTGACTGATAGGCTGGGATGCCTGGGTCTGTCCCTCGCCATGTTCATAGGAAGAGGGCTAGTCACCCATGAAAGTCACATAAAAAGGCACCTGGTCACCCATCAACTGAGACATGCGGCAGACAGACAGGAGGGTAGGTTTATAAGTCACAACCAGGTAGGAAAGAACAAGGGGTTGGAGGACAACACGCACTCTGGTATGCTTTTACCGCATGGACACCTGCTCAGTTCATAGTAAGTGGAGCAAATACAAAAGCTTTGATTCCAGGGAATATTTCTCAGTTTAATATCATAATGGGATAGAATGGAACTGAAAACTAGATTCTATTTTCCATAGTTCACTACATAGAAAACTTTAGGAATATCTCTTTTTCGCATCTCAAGGTTGGAAACACTTCCTCCCACCTAGCCAAAGAATGACACTGCAGATCTGTGGCCTATTGCCTCTGATGATAAGAAACACAATATACTCGTTTATTGAATGTCCTCCTTTGTATGTGTTAGTGGATTAGGGCAATTACTTCCTCTGTGAAAATTTAGATTTTATTCTTAATGTAGTTGATTTAGGATACGATTATATGAGACAAGTATTAGGCAACATATGCTGTCATCCAACAGATGTTGTACAATCAGTGAAAAAGTTATCTCTAGGAAATTAAAATGATTAGAGCAGGAAAAAAATGGCTGTCCCTGGGGTGCCTCCAAACACCCTCAAATGCATCAGGAGAGAGTATGCTACGTACGTGTTACCTTTTCGTTGAATGTTGGCCTGAAACGTGGAGAATGCCATGCTAACGTCAGGCAATGTTGGGGATGTGAACAGCCTCATGACAAGAATCCTATCGTTCACCTTGTACCTATACAAAGCCTTGCGTGCTCTGCTGCCAATTCCTGTTTGCAGCCTTTATGTCTTAAAAGTAATAACAATTTAAAAACAGTCTACTAGCTTATGACAGGCAACAAATCGAGATTTTGCAAGCCCAAAGGAGATTCTCAGTCATCAGAGGTACGTAGCGTGTTCTGCTTCTACTCTTGTCCTGGCCTCTGAGGAAATGGCCATCCTTCGGTTTATATTTCCCGCTCAAAAGGAGAAGTTCTCCAACTCCCGACCCTGGCTCGGCCCTCCTGACTCTTACAGACCCAGTTCTAGCTCGGCCCTTGTTTTCTATCTAAGCTAATGGTGCCTCCATTGCATCATCTTTTCTCAGCCTTCCTACCCAAGACACGCTGCACTGATACTCTCCTGTTGGGTACAAAGGCATTCAATCTCCACAAAGCATTCACTCTAGGTTTTCTACCAAATGACCCTTGACAACGAGCTGTCGTCACCACAGATCACAGGCTCATCCCTGCATCAGGAACGGGGCAGAGAGACGAAATGTCTCCCATCCTCACATGGTAGCTGGCAGGCGCTTCTACAGGCACCCACGTGTTTTCACAACATCAGTTTTGAAAATACTTTGTTAGAAATAATCTGGTGTCTTTTTAGAAATCTGCTGGGTCATAGACACGATGCTGCTTCTTGCTGAAATACTTGCATGTTAGGATTCTAGAGAGCAATTTGGTGACTTTCTTTCTTCCTTTCTTTTTAATCAAAAAGTCAGCTATCCCAGCAAAATAAAATGTTGGGGTCAGGGAGAGTTCAGCAGGAATGTGAATCAAATGGAAACATCTATAAAAATATTTTACAGTAGAACAGATGAAACCAACTTGAAATTAATCAGAAGGTCTCAATAGATTCTGTACCTATTCTCTTTATGACCACGATGACATGCAGCGATGCAGGGCTTGTTATAAAAACAGGTAGACGCTACCCTCTCTCCCAGAAGAGAGAGGGTGGCTCCATGATTTTCCTTTCCTTCCTGCCTGCTCCCTCCCAGGTGACTTCTGACGAGCTGAACAGTATACTTCAGAACATAATGGCCTGGGTGGTGGCCACAGTGACCAGCATCCTGTACCCAGCCATCACCAGGTATGAGGAGAGGCTGCAAAGCCAGGCGTACTCCAGGGCCGCGGAGTCCTCCCTGTCTTCGGAGAGCTCCAGCTTCTGCAGCACCTGCAGCGAGGGCTTCGCCTACGGCAGCTACACCACGGCCACCAGCAAGACCTTCCCCGGGGAGCCCCGCGCCTTCGCCGTGGACATCGCGGTCCGGCACCCGCCGACGCCGCTGAAGCCGCTCTCTGCCCACGTGGAGCGGACGGTGGTCGAGAAGACCTACCACACGGAAGGCCCCCCTTCCGCCCACATAGAGCGGACGGTGGTCGAGAAGACCTACCACGAGGAAGGCCCGCCTTCTGCCCACGTGGAGAGAACGGTGGTCGAGAAGACCTACAGCACGGACGGCCCACCCGTGACCACGACCCTCACATATAAGACAGCCACCGGGGTCTATGCCCACCCCAAGCTCAGAAGCTGCAAGTCGGACAGCCACCTCCTGGCCTTTTTTGAGGGAGGGGCACAGAAGTCCAAGGATGCCACCACGGAGACCGACGGCCTGGAGGGCCCGCTGCTTCCGAAGCGAAAAGCCAAAGCTGAAATCAAGAACCTAGAGAAGATCTTTGTGAACTTTAAATGCCACCTGAAAGGGGAAACGGAGCTGATTTTAGAGAGCATCTTCCAGGAAATCATGTCCGACCTAACGCAGGCCGTTCCCGCCATTTCTTCCGTCACCGCCGAGGTTTTCGTTGAACCGAGTGAGCCCGAACTAGGAGACGTTCTCTCCAACGTGGACATCAGCTCCGTGGCTTCCGAGATCGTGGAAAACATGCTCGAGAAGCTCCAGTCCGCCGTCGAGAAAAGGTGCGTGGAGATGTTTTCGCAGGAAGATTGGCCAGTTGAAATGATGCCCAGCTTCCTGCCCATCGGAGAGGGCCCCCTCCCGCCCAGCGGGAGACCCCCGTCGGCCTCCCTGCCGCAGCCCGCGGAGCCCATGTGCGACGTGGCCGAGGACATGGTGCAGGCCATCCTGCAGAAGCTGATGGCTCTGGCGTCGGGGAAGCAGGACGAGCCTCCCCACCTGGCGTCCGCGGCGAAGCCCCCCTCCCAGCAGCGCACGCCCGGCCCCGTGGGCACCTCCCTGCAGAGAGCCGACGCCAAGAAAGGGGGCCCCGAGCCGGCGGGCCAACTTCCCGATGAAGGAGGAAATACAGAGTTTGATCTCCAGCATCTTTGCCCAGTCCTCGCTGGTGGGCTACATCGAGGAAGCCATCAGCACCATCCTCGGCTACGTCCAAACCGAACTGAACAACGAGCGGCTGGTGGCGTCGGAGGAGACGGTGGTCTTTCTCCGGCTGCTGGACGACATCTTCACGCAGCTGCACCAGGAGCCGGTCAAGGCCGAGGCGCCCAAGGGCAGGCGCCCCCGGCCCCGACGCCCTCCTGCCACGGAGGAGAAGTACCGGCTGGCCGGCAACCACGCGGGGCCAGCGGCCCCCGGGGCCGCGGAAAGCCGCTGCCGCCCATCAACGTGCCGGGCATGGTCCTGTACTCCGATGACGACAGCGAGGAGATCGACAGGCTCGTGGAGAGCGCGCTAGACTCCTCTCTGAGGAACGAGAAGGCGGGATCGCAGGAGCGGGACCCCGAGTGCTGGTTCACAGGGAGGAGCGCGCGTTCGGACAGAGACAGCAAACCGCCCCCAAGGCCCGCTTCCCTCAGAAGCAGAGTCGTGTTCTGCGAGGGATCCGAGACCGAGGGGCCGAGTGTTCACAAGAAAGAAGTTTTAAAGGGAAAAATCTGCTCGACTAAAGACACGCTGACCTTCAGCCAAGACCAAAGGCACCAAATACAAGAGGCGTCGGCAAACGTGATCAAAGGCATTTTGACGGAGATGCTCAAGGAGCAGCCTCCTCCTCCGGGCCCCTCGGGCGGGAGGGCCGGCAAGGACACCGCCGTTCTCTCCGGGAAGCCCCGAGGGCTGCCGGCTCAGGGCCAGTGGGACCAGCTGTTCTCCGTGGGAGAAGTGACCACGGTGGCTCAGGACATAACCGAGGCCGTGATCAACATCCTCCACGAGGCCCTGAACCGCATCCCCGGCACCCCCAGAAGTTCTGTCCTACCCGCCAGGCGGCAGACTCCGCTGGGCCGTTCTCACACTCCCGACGTGGCCAAAGAGGCGCCACATGAAAAACCACTGAAAATATGGTTTGACAGCGAGAAGAAAGTGAAGTATTTGTCTTCACTTGACGTAGGCCCTGAAACCCCGTCCCCGTTCGGGTCTGAGACATGTGAGCCGAAGGCTGTAGATGACATCTCGGGGGACATCATTGACACGGTGTTCAAGAAGCTGAAGGGACTCATTTACCCAAAACTGCACGTGGGCTCCACACCGCCCTGCACAGGGCCGTCCTCGCTGCACCGCCAGCTGAGCGCCTACACGACCAAGGTGGTGGGCATCGTTCTGCAAGCGATCCAGAACGAGCTGGAACTCGATCAGAAAAGCCAGAGCCCGCGGGAAGCCGACGACGGCAAGCCCCTCCGAGGCAGAGAGCTCTCGGCGGACACTGACGCGGATCTCAGCAAGGACATCAAGGCCTCCCCATTGCTGACGTGCATTTGCGAGATGTTGTCAAGCGCACATTCCGACCGGAGCAGCGTCTGCCTCCCTCCCGATGAGCCAAGGCCTTCGGTGGCGTGTGGGCTGGACGATGTTGGCAAACCACCCACGCTTCCAAGTCGGCAGGAGAAACAAGCTTTTTACCATTACTTGGCGACTCCATGTGCCATCCACAGCGACCCCTGTGGAAAAGAGCTCAAAGACAAGGGCAAACTGCAAGTGCTGGACAGCATTGGGGAAACCCTGTACGAGATGCTGTGCAAGCTCCTGGGAGCCCGCCCGGAGGGCCAGCCGCCCCGAGAGAAGACGAGTGAGAACCGGGGAGTGGCCGTGAAGCTGCACCCTAACCTCCAGCTCCTCTCCCAGACCATCCTGGACGGCATCCTCGCGAAGCTGTGCAGGGTCGACGCGGACACCAGCTGCGCAGGTTCTGGGATGACAGCTGCCTCCGAGTGCCCGGAAATCGATAACCTATCGTTCAAGTCAATCATTGAGGAAATGGCCAAGTGCACCGACATCATCTCCGGCATCCTGTCCAGGATGCTGCGGGAGAGTAACAGAGAGGAGACGGGCAGGGATGCGAAAACCGTTGCTCCCGGGCCCTGCAAAACAGGGAGCACGAGAGAAACGCATCCAAACAGACTGACGGCCTTGGCCACCGACATCCTCAACGGGGTGTTTGCGAAGCTGGAAGGGTTTGCCAGTGGCAACCTAGGAGCCCTGGACCCCAACAGCAAGGGGGACAAGACCCGCGCCCAGGTGGACCTGCAGTGCGACGGCGCCAGCGAGGCCGTGGACGCCTGCGAGGAGCTGCTGCGCTCGGCGCTGTACATGCACGCGAAGAAGGCGTCCAGCACCATCCTGAAGGCCATCCAGACGGAGCTCGGCGGGAGCCCCGGGGACCTGCGGGCCAGCGCCAAGAGCCCATCCCCGGAGAAACAGCTTCTGAAGAATGTGATCAACTTGATTATAGACGTGGTGTCCTCAGATGTGCTGGACGACACCGCATCCGAAGAGAGGACCATGGAATCCTGCGGGTACCGGCCGACCTACGGGAACTTCCTGCCCGGAGGGGCCGAGCCAGACCCGTGTCTAGAAGACGCTGCGCCTGCGGAGAAGGAACTTGGAGCCGAGGGAACCCTCCCGAGGGGAGAAACGCAACCGGGTTCTCTGAAGCAGTGGGTTCTGGAAAGGACCCTAAACAAAATTGAAGGGAAACTGAAGGAGCCACAGAAATCTCCCATCGTGCCCATCATCAGGAACATTTTGAACGAGATTTTCCAAGGGGCTCTGGTCAACCAATTAAACGTGCTTTCTCTCTCCTGCCCTCCGCTGGGGGGCGCCCCGCATGATGCGGGTGGCGAGCCGCTGGCGCCGACGTGGGTCCCCTTCATCGACCAAAGGACGGGCCCCTTGGTGTCCGAGGCCGACGTCACCATCGTGGTGGGTGATGTGGTCACGACTGTGATGCATAAGCTCTACGCAGCGGCCATGACGCAGAGAGACGCCGGGGAAAACAGGTACAAGACCATCACCTTTTCAGCGAACGTTTCTTTCCACGTCCCCGCCTGCGCGGAGCAGTCCTCAGTCCCTGTGCTGGATGGGAATCCGTGTCCTGTCCCGCCCAGACTCAACGCCAAAGGAAACGTGGCTGAAGATATCATCCAGGAGATACTAACAAACCTAGAAACCTTCGCTACTTACAAAGTAAAATCTCTCTTTTGTCCCCAAATCAAGTTCACAGTCCCAGTGGCTTTCCCCGTGCAGCAAGGGAAGAGCATTTTGAGCAAAGCGTTGTCCGCCAAAGGCCTGTATCCGGATGACGGGTTTTCTCCCTGCTCCGTGGATCGTTTTCTGGAAAAGACCAACTCGTGCCAGCTTTCTTTAAATAAGCTAAACACACACGCAACAGAAGTGGCCAGACAAATTTTACAAGGCATCAAGCACGAGCTAGATAAAGAACGGGAGAGTCCTTTCCTAACGCACAACGTCGTGGTTTCCGAAGGGATCGCGAGTCAGATCGTGAACACGGTGTTAGAAATCGTCTCCTCCAAAGGCAAGTTTGACAAACACGAGTCTGACGAAGAGCGTCACGCAGGTCGGCAGGAAGGCGTCATGGACAGGATGTTCAACGGGACTGAGTATCGCAAAGGGCTGCAGTTCCAAATACAGGATGTCATGGAAGGCATCCTGTGCGACATTTATGAAAAAACGCTGCATCAGAACAACCTGGCCTTCGCCACGCCCCTGCCGAGAGGCCTCGCAGCCGGGAAACATCCGGCTGCCGACGCCGGGCTGTCCATAGAGGGTGCCAACGAGATCGTCCCACCACTTTCTGTCCCCAAGTCGGACGTCATGCTGATCTCCAACGACATCGTGGACCTTGTCCTTCATAACCTCAGCTCCGCCGTCACGCTCGGCACAAAACCAGAGCGCGCTCCTGCGGCACGACTGCCCCTTCCCTCCTGCGATATGTTCCCACGCACAGAGTGCCAGCTGCCGCCGCTCACGGGCTCACAGAGGGAAGGAGACACAGAGCGCTTTTCGTCGTCAAACAATGTGAGGCCCGAGTACGCTGTGGCGAGTCAGATAAGTGTGGTAGGGAGGGAAGACCCCAGGAGGCCCGCCCCTGACCCCTGTGAGGACAACGCTCACTTCATCACCAAAACTATCGTCAACCAGCTAGAATCTTTCGCCACCAAAAGAATAGACTCATTAATTACTCTTGCTTCCCAGCCCACAGAGAAGCCCTCTGCTAGCCCTGGCCTGGAGCCCTGTGAGCCCGAGGACAGTGTTTTTCGTGAGCCAAGCCAAAGGGTGCCCAATGTGAACGTCCTGAAACTATCAACGGAAACTGTTCTCAGCCACGAACTTGCAGATCCCGCGTTTGCGAGTTACGGACAAAAACGGGGATCCGCCATTCACCTCTCCCAAGCCAGCCTTAAGGAATACGCGGACGTCATCGCCAGTGTCATTCTGAAGCTTATTAAAAACGACTTGGACCTGGAAATCCAAAGGGCATATCTACATCCAAACAATATTTCCTTCCAGGAAAACGTCATTGTGAGTGAGATTGTCAACAACACCTTAAAGGTTTTGAACGCTAAGAGGTCTGTAAATGAACTTCAGTTTTACGCAAAAGACCATCCTGGCGCATTTGCACCGTTAGCTGTACCCAAGGAAATGCTGTTAGGACAAAGAGAGCTGGACCAAAACACCAAGTTATCTCTGTTTTCACAGTACCCGTTCGAACAAAACCAACGGGCAGTGGGAAAGGAAAGCCAGAGAGTTGTTTTGGAAGAAATATTTATGAGACGTGGGGAATCCAAGCAAAAAGAAAAGGCTGCCTTGCTCACTCCAGTGAAAGAGGTTTTAAGGAAAGTGCACCAACAAGTAATGAAAATCAAAGGCCACCTGCCTCCATTCAATGAAGCCCCCTACGCGGCATCTAACCCTAAAGCTAAAACATCAGACGTAACACACAAAAACTTCGTCCAGTCCCATATTAACGGCGTAGCCAACGACATAGTCGAGAGTGTTTTGGGGGAAATGTACGCTGTGGTTGTGACCTCCTTACATGACAGTCACCAAAAGGAAGCCTTCGAAGGCAACGGCACCTTCCCTAAGCTGCCGCCGTGCGTGGGAGAAGCCAAACAAGCCGGGAGAGGAAGTAATTCCATGGGGTACGTGATGCCACAGGCCTACCCTTCCCCAGGCGACCACAACGCCCCCCTGTTCCACAGCAGTTCCCAGCAGCACTCGCCGCTGCAGGTGGGGGAGGAGTTGGTCCAAAGGGTGCTCGATAAGATCACGCAGTTTGCCTCCGTTTACCTGGAAGAGGCCCCTGAGAGATGTGCTGATGAGCTGCCACCTCAAAGGCTCCAGAGCCTTAAAGTGAACCCGAAGGGCAGCCTCCAGCCAGGTTTTAAGACAAGTGTAAAAGCAAAGTCAAAAGTGACTTCTCTGCCTAATTTGAAGACAAAGTCGCCCCTGGGCCCTGGTGGTGCTAGGGCCAAGAGCAAGACCAAGGTGGGGCCCGGGGAGAGGACTCTGAGGAGCAGCCAGTCCAAGACCTGCCTGGGGCTGCCGCACACGCTCACCGCCGGGGACGCCAAGGGCACGCGGGGCGCCAGGCTGCCCGCCGCAGACCTCAGGGCGCACGCCACGCACGTGACCAGCGCGATCCTGGAGACGACCGTGACCGAGTTTGAAAAGGCCACGCAAACGAGAGCCGTGGTCAGTATGAAGGCGCTGCCGTTTGACCAAATCGGGGCAGCCAACAGGATCGTCCGCGCCGTTCTGCAAGGGGTGTGCGCACCGGGCACCCACAGCCTGGCCGCTCCGGGCACCTTCTCGGCTCCCTCGGACCTCAAGCCTCCCCCGGGGCGCCCGGGCGCGAGGGGCTTCGCTGAGACGCAGGCCTGCTTTTACTTGGAAAACGTCTCTTCCCAGCTCGAGCAGATCTTTCCCAAGGACGGGATATTTAAAAAAATGTTTGACAAATGGCAGGCAGAAGCAAACGACATGGAAAGTGAAAAATGTAACTTGCTGGTAGTGGCTGAAAATGTTTTGACTGTCATTTCAATGAAATCGAAGGAATTAGAATATTATCTTTCCCTCTTAAACCTGACGCACCCCGAGGACTGGGAAAGCAGGCTCCATAACCGCCTTAAAGGAACATCGACGCGAGCGGAGGCCACCAAGGCACAAATCAACATGTTCTCGAGGGAGATCGTTGAAATGCTACTTGAGAAACTACAGCTGTGCTTTCTGTCCCAGATGCCCACCCGGGACAGTAAGGAAACTCCAGCAAGTAGGAAGGAACACGCCGCCCAGAGCAAACACGGCCTTCCGGCCAAGGACGTCCTCGGCGCTGCGCCCATCTACTACATGGACGCCAAGGACCACATGTCTTTGGGCTCCACCAAGCAGATTGTCCTGGACATTGTGGAGAGGGTGCTGGGCATGCTGGAGGCGTTTGTAGACCTGCAGTTCAAACACACCTGCAAGTACGAGTTTTCCGAAATAGTGAAAATGCCTGTAGAAAACCTGTTTCCGGCCCAGCAGAGGCTGTTAAGCAAAAAGATGTTCCCTAAACTGCAGTCGCTGAAAAAGCTTGCTGATGATGGCAGGTCCAGTGCTATGATTTCCAAGGAACATGTACAGAATGTTTTTCTGCAGGTCCACTCATTCCATTCAGAATTGCTTACGTGCGCTGTGGCCATCACCAGCGACATGCTGGGTGTCCTCAAGAACAAGCTGGACAAGGAGATAGGCCAAGCGGAGCCGCCGGGCAGCGCGCTGCACGAGAACGTGGCAGCGAGTGAGATCATCGGCGCGCTGATGGACCAGTGCACGCATGTCAGTGAGTCTCTGATCAAAAACCTTCCCAGTTTGTTCCCGGGAGTGGAAAATACCTACATTGTTAATCATCTTGCATTCTCCACTGATATGAAAATTCCCAAGTCAAAGGAAGTTCATTTTGGGAATGGGCCTCCTCCACGGGTTGGCATTCCTGGTTTGATGTTTTATCCTGAAGACGACACGAAGAAAAGGTACAGGGGCCCACCCAACGTACCTTCATGTGCCAGAGCCCCCAGAGAAGGCCCGGTCAGAAGCTCGGAGCCCAGGGAAAGGCCTGACTCAGGAAATGCGCCAACCTCCTCTAGAAACAAGGTCCCAGACTACGGCCCCAGGGAATGGTCGTTTGATCAAACCACGCCGGAAGGCAGTATCTTACAAAAACTGGCTAAACGGGTGACTGAGTCCACAGAAGAAGCACTGAAGCAAGGCCTGTCCTTCATAGAAATGCGAAAAGCTAAAAACCCAAAAGTGTTTCATTACGGGACCCCAAAACCCGTTGGTGGGCCTAACCAAACTCAGACAACTGTTTCTCCACTCAAGATATGTTTAGCGGCAGAAAATATTGTCAATACTGTGTTGTCAAGCTATGGGTTTCCCAGTCAACCACCCATTAACGAAAGCACAGAGACAATGAAACCATTTTTCATGTCCACGCCAAGCCCTGCAGGACAAAAGGAGGAGAAGAAAAGTGTGCTCGCCATGTGGGGTGACAGGACCCGCTGCGCCCCCAGAGGAGGAAGCAGAAACCCGGGAGCCGGCAGGGGAGACTTTTCTTTGTTGCAAAAGTGGGAGAAGAGCGACCCGAAGGGAAAGACTGTGAAGGAATTTGAAGTCATTGCTTTTGCTGATCATGAACTGGGTCCAAATGAAATCAATTTGGTAGCAAGACATGTAACCACATGTGTGGTCACATATTTCCAGAACTTCAAAACCAGAGGTAAGCAAGAGAGAGAACTTCCTCTAAACGTTGACATAATTTAGAAAAAGAACAGTCAGATATGTTTAAAGGTCTCTAGACCAGTGATGGCGAACCTTTTGAGCTCGGCGTGTCAGCATTTTGAAAAACCCTAACTTAACTCTGGTGCCGTGTCACATAGAGAAATTTTTTGATATTTGCAACCATAGTAAAACAAAGACTTATATTTTTGATATTTATTTTATATATTTAAATGCCATTTAACAAAGAAAAATCAACCAAAAAAATGAGTTCGCGTGTCACCTCTGACACGCGTGTCATAGGTTCGCCATCACCGCTCTAGACGGAGCTGCATGGGCCATCTTTCTGAAAACAGCCTTGGAGGTGGGGACTTGGTACTTCTTACTGTGTCAGGACCCTGACAGAGTCTAGCATTCACGGGGTTGGAACCTGAAAGGGTGTGGTGTTCAGTTTCCCGCATCCTAGATGAGAGACAAAGGGACTATGTGAGAGCCGGTGGAGCACAAGGCATGAGCTCCAAAGAGTTTTTAAGATTCTCGTGCATGGCTTCTTCATGCCAAAGCCACAGTTAGCGGATTGCAGGTTAGCAACTCATCTTTTCATGGTGTACAGTTGACGTCTTTGCCATTATTAGTCACAGTTTGTAAGAGCAGTGGCATTCGACATCTGGGGTTTTTTTGTTTTTGTTTTTCATATATCTTTATTGATTTTAGAGAGGAAGGGAGAGGGAGCGAGAGATAGAAACGTCAATGATGAGAGAGAATCACTGATCGGCTGCCTCCTGCACGCCCCACACTGGGGATCCAGCCTGCAACCCAGGCATGTGCCCTGACCAGGAATCAAACCACAACCTCCTGATTCATAGGTTGATGCTCAACCACTGAGCCACACCCGCTTTGCTAAACACCTGGTTTTGTTTACATTGCAGTATTCTTAAATTCCTTTTAGGTGTAGTACTATAAACATATTCTTACAAAGGTATTTTCACTCCCTTTCTAAGAATGTTTGCCTGCATATGTTAGGTTGAACCACATGTAATAGCCATTCTTGCATGTCCAAACCTGTTGATTATTGGCAATTTCATAAAATGGAATCTAATAATACTTTAATAGCTCTGAACTGGATCAATAATTCCAGTTACCAGTAAGCTACATCGCCTCCAGATACATCACTTGCCCGACATTCAAATATGAGAGCATATACTACCAGTCCCGCCACCTGCAGGCAGAGGTCATTCTCCAGCCTTAGAACTGGCCTTTCTTCTGAGGTGAGCAGTGTGTAACTGCAGCTTCAGGCTCCTAAACGGCCTGTCCCTGAGCAGGGCCTGACAGAACTTAATAAAGGAAAACGAAGCCAACAAAAGCAGATAGGTGACTCCATCCTGTTGGTGTCTGGTGCCTCCCAGGGAACTCACTCATGGTCCTCCTTTCATGTGGAATATTCCTTCCTTGCTCCCTCCATCTCCACATGGGACCCTCTTTCAAGCAGTCAAAGCTCAGCTAAACCCCTCCCACCTCCAGAGACCTGCCTCCTCCCACACGTGGGGGGTAGATAGACGACTGTGTCCTGAGGGAGCTCTGAGAACCAAGGCTGGCGCTCTGACCAGCCCTCCAAGAAGTTGGCCACCCCAACCAGGTGTATGGTTTGCAGTAAATATCTTGTTGAGTGGGAGGAAGAAGGGAGTCCTATGTCTGGCTGGGCTGGCCTTCCCTTTTTGTGACAACCTACAATCCAGGGGTTAGAAAACTACTGCCATGGCCACGGAGCCCCTACACTTCTGCAGTGAGCACAATCCTACTTCATTGTGTTCTTATGGCCAGTCAACTCCTTCGTTTCCTGAATGACACACAGCCTACCATGAAATGTTGTGACTCAAAACATGTCCTCAGTAATGATACGAGGTCCCCATATATCACTGTGGACATGCTAGGATGTAAAACTCAACTCGAAACTCATTTTTCTGCCCCAGAATTTCCAACTTCTTAAAGCCTGTAACTATCTAAGCAAGTCAGACATCAGCACTTGACTTAGAATTTTAATTCTTCATGGTTAATTTTCTCAACTTTCTGGCTAAAATTATGATTCCACAAGGTGGGAAATAAGTATCAGAAGAAAACCCAATTTCTTTCTTGACTAAATTTTTCTTTTTCTTTAGTGAAGTGTTCCAAAGGTGAAATTCATATGTAAATAATTACCGATATATTGAATTTTCCGTATTTCTCTTAATGCATGCTACAAATTATGTTTTCTTTTTGAAGTGTCCAGTGAGAAGATGTCGATTGTTTCCGCACTGTCAAAGAAAACATACGAGTCAGAACAGCGTCTAAGAAGCATATACAATGATTCTTCGCTTTGCCAACTTTGTGAGCATCTCACCGAGTCTGTCATTTGCCATTTAATTTCGAGCATTTCTGATGGCATCCGAGGTGGCAGAGAGAGTGCGAAGGCATGGGAAAGCCAAAATTCAGGATGTAACAAGATTATTTCCATTGATTCTCAAGTATTTGAAAACAGGTCGATTTCTATCGGAGAACTTGCTTTAAGTATTTCTGAAATCATTACTAAAATCCTTTGCGATAGTAACATTATAGAGCCTGACATTGCACAGCAAATGTTTTCCTTAAAAACAAAGTACATTTATTGCCCGGGAGTCACTGTTACTGACTTTGACCATATTTTCCAGGATCTCCTAATAGGAGTGATTCACGTACTGTCCAAAGTGATAGGAATAACTCATCACCTTGAAAGCAATGGAAGAAGTAAACCATTGTCCATGCTTAGAAGCAACAGTGTGTCCGTGGGTAACAAAGCAAACACCATGAAAAGACAGATAAGTTGCAGAAACTGGGAATCATCTACTCACCCAAATGAACATCTCATTCAAAATGAGAAATTAGATTACCTGGCATACAAGTTAGACAGTATCGTTAGTAGCCTGAAAACTCGTGAATCCAAAGAAGTAGTCAATAAGGTCTTCAATATTGTTTTAGATTTATTTTTACCAGATGAACGCAGAGGTGAGGCTATGGATTCTTATGAAAAAGCAAGAAAATCTTTATCGTCCTCGAGTAATAACTTAGGGCTCACCCCCAAATCCGTTTTTCTTCTCAATGTCGTGTGTGAGAAACTTATCAGAACGCTTTTGGAAAAATGCACAAACACGGCCTTTCTTGATCATGGCCCTCTTTCTGATGAAATGTCTACGGAAGAATGTCAACTTTTAAAAATGCTTCAAAGTGTCGAAGAAGAGGGCTTTGGTGACTGTAAGGGGGCCATGGGCTGTGAACAGTCCCAAGGAGATTGTATGTCAGATCTTTTGGAAAATCTGGCAGAAATGGATACAGATGTGTTATCATCGGACTCTATGCTCACCCTCGTTTCCCACAGCTTGGTGAAGTCCCTGATGGACAAACTCTGTCACAATATTCAACTCCCTCACAGCCCGCCCAGTGCAAGCCAGCACTTGAAGGGTCGAACACAAGAAAGACAGTCGGGTCTTATAAAAGCAAAAAGGCCAGAATTAGCAGGATTCGGACAAGGTAAAGGTTCTGCCGGCTTCACCAGCTGTGACAGTCGCGCTCTGACCGGATCCCTAAATCTCTCCAGCATGGTCCGCTCCAAAACACAGTCACCTTTTGGCAGGAAGTGTTCAGTAAGCTCCTCTTCTGTGACACCTCGTAGGAGGCAGGAAACAGCCATCCATAGCAAGCTACACCTGGGGAGTAGGAGTACAGGTGTTTATTCGGCCACATTTTTGGAGGAAATCATTTCAGAACTGTTTTTCGATCTCTCCACTTCCCTGTGGGGCAAAAATGGAAGCATCACGGAGGCCCAGCTCAGTGAGACGAACACACTACTGGTCAACAACGTGGTGAGGGAGTTTGCGCGCGCGCAGATCGCCGTTCTGCGGAACGTGGAGGAGAGACTGTGCTTCCCGCCGGTCCAAAAGGAAAGGGTGCGGAGGGTTGTTGACTCGGTTTACCCTGACGTTTTGCAGAAATATCAATTGAAAGTGACCCGTGGTGTGAATCTGGCGCATGACAACTCCTCACTAGCAGGACAAATAGCGAACGGCATCCTGTTAGAGATCGTGGACTACCAACTCCCACCCTGCTTCCGGGAGAAGCTCAGCCCGAACTCCTGCTGCCCTCTCGAAGCGGGAATCATCCTGCAGAAACTACAAAGGACCCTGCGAGAATGTGCTTCCAGATCCAGGTCTGCGGGAGGCTACAGCACCAGGGTGTCGCACTCCTTTTTAGAGGATATCATCAGGAGGCTTCTAGCCCAACTCACTGCTCCGCCCAGTAAGGCTTCCCCTCTGGGGAGAAAAGAGTCCATGAGTTCAGATTTCAGTGAAATGTCTAACTGTATCATAAATAAGGTTCTATCAGCCATTTCAAAACACAAAATTTGGCTCACTATATGTGACAATCCACAGCTATGTGCAGGGAAAAACACCCAGAAGATGGTGGATTCTGTGTATCGGAACATCATGCAAATGCCTGACTCTCTTGTCTCAATCCAGAACAGCCTGGTGAGCCGAAGCCCAGTTATGGTGGACCGAATAGCCAGTTTTATTATCCAAGAGATTATTGAAAACCATCTTCAACCATTTTTGTGTGAAGAAGGTTTGCACCGTCCAAATACCCCACTGGATGCAGTATCGAACATGGTTAAACGGGTCCTCAGTGAGGTCACAGCGTCGCACAGACCCAAGAGGCCCTCATCCTCAGGCGTTCCCCCTGACACATTCATAGGGGAAATTGTGGCCAGACTTGTAGCAAAGATATTCAGCTCCAAGCAGAACACTGACAATGAGCTGGAAAACATGACACAAAAAATAGTGAACTCGATAACCACCCACTTCGACAAAGCTACAACTCACATCCTCAGCGGCGGCAAGGAGGGCGCCGGCCCCTCCGTAGGCACAGACATCGTGGATGAGCTCGTGTCCTCTGTTTACAGAAACGTGTTACAGCAGCACGGGCTAGACCCTGAGGCTGACAAGGACTCTGAAGACAGCGAGACTTTTGTGGAAAACATCACCAATTTAACTGTAGCGGCCATTTCTGATTACCTTCTGCACCCGCTGTTCTCTGGCGATCTGTCACCTTCCTGTTCTATTTCCACAGCTGAGAGCATCATCCAGGGCATCATTGGTCACATCAGCAAACCCGCCACGCCAAGCCCGAGTTTATCTCCGTATAATACCCTGCTGCCATACACGTTTTTAGAAGACATGATCAGAGTACTATTATCTAGAATCTTTTCTTCTGCATCCGACTTTGTTCCAAACACAGAAACTCTAAAAGACAGGGCAAGAGTGAATTTCAATGAAATTGCTTCAAAGATAATCAGTGATATTAGGATGAAAATTTCTCAACATGACATCCAATTCTCAAAAGATGATGAAGAAACCAAGTTTGTTTATTCAGAAGATGATGTCCAGCAGCTCGTGGACTCCGTCTTCAAAAACATTTTACAAAACTCCGGGTCTCAGGAATCGGTTGAACAAAACATCAAAGGCAGCAACGACGCTCTCATCGATAGAATAGCAGGTTTCATCATCAAACATGTTTGTCAACAACATCTTCAGCCGTTTGTGGACCAAAAGGCATTGCCTTCCCCCACAGACGCTCACCCTGACGGCGAGTGGAGGCCATGGCCTCCTGCCAATGTTTACTCGGCAGCGTTTCTGGAAGATGTGATCTTTGGAGTTTTAAGGAAAATATTCCACAGGGTGTTGGGCATTGTGCAAACAAAATCAGCAAAAGACTCGGAAGATGAGCTTTTGGATAAAGCTGGGAAACTCACACATCTGATAGCAGAAGAGCTGTCCAGAGCCCCGGTCCGCATCCTGGAGAACGCCGAGGAGCAGTGCTGTTTGCCTCCAGTGGAGAGAGATGTCCTCAACAGCGTTGTGGACGTGGTGTTCAGCAAAGTGCTGCAAGAATATGAAATGGACATCCTGCCCGATTACGATTTCCTCAGTGACACAAAGACCTTGGCAACAAGGGTGACTAAGAGCATCCTGGCCCACACGTTTGATTTCCAAATCCACCCAAAGCTGATAGGAAAGCTTCGTTTTAAGTCGTACGCCAAACTGAACGTCGATGTTTTGATAAAGAGAGTCCAAGGTTACATCACTAAATCAAGATTCCAAAGACAGGCGTCGACTATCTACACCACCATGTTGTCGCACACCCACTTGGAAAAGGTGGTCGCCCAGCTGATCTCTCAGGTGAGCCCACTGGCCGCCAGCGCAGAATGCAAGGGCACTTCCAAGTCGGAGCTCAGTGATAACGTCATAAGGCTGATAAACGAAATTATGTCAATCATTTCCAAACATGCAATCTGCATTGTCAAACATGGCAGTGGGAAACAGAGCATGATCTCGGAGAAAGAGATCCAGTCCATGGTGGGTTCCATCTACGCCGACCTTTCACACTCAAAGCTCTATCAGTCTCTCACAAAGGATAAGAAAGGGATAAGTAAGATGCCTGTTTCGAAAATAGCGAGTTTTATCATAAAAGAAATATTTAACCATCATCTCCAGTCATTTTTACCCGGAGATAAAACATGCCTCTTAGCTGCGGTTGATCATGACGCTAAACAGAGAGCTGCCGACGCTCAGCAAGGAAACTTGGCTTTCGTGGTGAACTCGGCTGCCTTCCTGGAGGAGGTCATCGCAGAGCTGCTATGTAAACTCCTGTACGCGTTCTCACACAACGTCTTGGCTGCTGAGCACCCAGACATAGTGAAAGTGAAAATTACTGACATTGTGACGACATTAGTAAAATCAATTGTTCTGGAGTTCACCACGTCGGAGATTGTAGTTTCGAATTATTTCGATAATGATATGTGTTCTTCGGCAAGATACAAAGAAATGGTTCAAAAAACAGCCAACCTGACTTATGAAAAGATATTAGGTGAATACAAATCTCTGATTCAAGTCTACACGGTTATGCAAAGTGACACGACTTCTTTCGGCAGGAAAATTTATCACTTACTATTGGAAGAAATTTATGATCATCAGATGCAGTCGTTAGTGTCAGGAGAATTGGTATCTTCTTCCTGTTCTTCCCTTCAAACCGAAAACATCATCAGAAACGTGCTGAATGTCATCACGAAGGCCGGCCCCCCCACCCCGTGCATGACGGTGCTGCCGCGCGTGCTGTTGGAAGACATCATTCACAAGCTCATAGCGAGCATCTTCCCGCCCACCCACACGGGGGGCGAGCTCAGGGAGGAAGGCGCTTCACCCGATGACGAGTTTGTGGCTGCAGCTTCAAAACTGACGGATGAAATTATCAGAGAGATTACGGAACATGAAGTCCGTCTCGCCAGGGCGGAAGAGAATGCCGACAGTACCCAACTAGACATGATTGAGAACCTGGTTGACTCGATATGTAATAATATCTTGAAAAAATCTGACTTTCAAGCGGAAGTGCAAAGAGATGCAGACAGAAAAGCAGGCTCGTTCCTCAGCAAAGTCGCGGGTTTCGTTATGAAGGAAATTATGGACCATCATCTGAGGCCATTTTTACAGGGTGACGGGGGCTCTGCACTCACCAAACCTGGGAAAGAAAAGACTCAGACGTCCCTCTACTCGGCTACATTTTTGGAAGACGTAGTGGTTGACCTCGTTCGCAAATTTTCTTCCCTCCTAAGTATTGCCGGAGAACCTAAGAAAAAAGGGATGTCGGAGACAGAACTTGTGGGGTTGGCTATAAAATTTGCAAATTCTCTGATAGGAGAATTCAGGAAAAGTGAAATTAAAGTTCTACCGAATGCTGAAGAAGTCTTTGCTTTCCCACCAATTGATAAAGAGACAGTGGATAAGATATCCAACTTTGTGTACGATCAGTTCATAGGGAAGTACGACTCCGGTGACATGCAGGAGGATGATAAAGGTCACGTGCTAATAGAAACGATTGCTGCATTAGCCCAAAAGGCAATCTCTGCCTTCAAAATTCAACCCCTGTTCTCAGGAGACTGGTCTTCCACCTTCTTTTCATTTCTAAATCCAGATCACATCACCCAAAGGGTTCAGCACCTGCCACAGGAAACCACTGCACTGAGTAGCACAGGCCTCAAAGGAAACCAACTTACTTTTTCAGAGCAATCATATAAATACACTTCTCCAACCTCAGTCCGGAAACACGTGTTGGGAACTTTGGAACTAGACAGAGGAACAGCAAGTAGAAAGAAAAGCGTCCAGAGTGAGGAGGCGCCCGTGAGAAAAGGCGAGACCCAAGAGCGTAAAGTCACCTCTCTAACTGGAACCATGACGTGCAACCTGCTGAACCTGCTGCCGGGGGCAGCTGCAGGGCTGGCAACGAAAAAGAAAGAGAAGGAAAATGAAATGACAATCTCAATTAAAAATTATACTGAGACTGTATCAATAGGTACATCTCCAACTACGAGTGTGAAAAGTAAAGATAGTCAGAAGTCAGATGTGAAGGGAGCAGGTAAAAATAATGAAACTGAGAAGAAAAGCAGATCGGTGTCAACAGAGGAAGAGAAGCAACGTCATGAGGCGTACACACAGACTCCAGGAGCTCCCGGCGAGACGGAGCGGAAGGAGGAAATGGTGGGACCAGATTTGGACACAAACCAACAGAAGATTGACAAAACAAGAGGAAATGCATTGAGAAAAGAAGACGAGCCCTGTCCGTTACCTTTGACACCCAAAGTGACAAATGCAGCGACCAACACAGAGGACACGTTAACTCCAAAGCCGAACACTGAGTGGAGAAAAAGCACCCTCCCTCTAGTCGATATAAACAAACATTATGCAGGCTATGAACGTGTTCAAAATGTCACTGAAAATATTTATGACAATATCTTAGAGACGTGTTTTGCCCCAGAATCAGATTATTCAAGTTTCCAAAAAACCCCAAGTGATACAGTTCATGTCACCCAAGAGGTCCGCAAGGATTTTGCCCAGTCTGTTTCAATAAAGGACTTACCCCTCTCGGTCTACAAAGATCTCCCTGCCCCGGAGAAGGAAGAAGAAAAGGATAATGAGAAAGCAAGAGAGAAAGAGAAGCAACAAGAGGGAGGAAAAGAGAAGCAACAAGAGAGAGGAAAAGAGAAAGTGGAAGTGAAGGAGATCAAAAATGAACCCAGGAAACCGGACAGTGCTCAGTACCCACCGAAAAGTAAGCCTGGGATTTTCCCTGCTAAACTCTTAGAGGATGTTATCATCGAAATGGTTAACAAGTTGATCTTTTGTGCCTCACCAGAAGCACAAACATCTGATAGATGCCAAAATGTCAGTGATGGCCAACATCAAGCCGACCTCCTTGACACAGCCATGAAGCTCATTGATTCTCTGCTGAAGGAGCTGTCCAAGGCTCAGATTAAGGTATTTAGGCCAGAAAAGGAAGGCCCGCTAGTCCCTCCTGGAGGTAAAGGGTCATCCGTTCCGAAAGGGCCTCCTAAGCAGAAAGAGCCAACGGCAGATGGAGCCTCACCTCTCACTAAGAAAGCAGCGGGGGCGGAAATGTCCCAAACGCAGAAAGTGATGAAAGAAATCCCTCTACATAAGGTGTCTTTCCTAGATAGAATCCCGGCCATCGATAAAACATTGGTTAACAAAGTTGTTCACTCTTCTGTATGCAATATTTTGAAGGAATATAGGTCTCAAGACTCCCTTTGTCAGAATATAAAGAGCAACAAGGGAAATTTAGCGAGAAAACTGACCAGCACAGTGATCAATGAAATTTTTCAGCAGAAGCTGAACTTGGAGCCCAGCGATGAGGTCCCATCTTCGGCGTGTCTGCCTCTGGAATGTAAGGATATTGTCAAAAAGGTGCAGAAGGTGGTGCAGACAGCCAGTAAAGAGTGTCAGACGTTCTCGCCGTACGCCATCCTGCTGCCTCGCGATTTTTTACAGACCATGATTTCTGCTCTCTTACATAAGGTTTTCTCAGTCGCACCCAAAACCAAAGCAGTCACCTCGGAGGGCGGGTGGCTCACAGAACTGGATTTCCTGCAAATGAAGTTACTGGGCACCATCATGACCGAGATCTCCAAGGACAAAGACATAAGCATTCAGTACGTGGAGTCCTTACATCCCAACGACGACGAGGTCATCCAGCTGGTGGCCCTTTCTATTTATGGGAACCTCTTGTCCCAGTTTGGCTCGCAGGAGATGATACGAAACTGTGCGGCCAGCGGCTGCAGAATCCTCTCCGAGACCATCGTGGAGCTGGTGCTGCGAGAGGTGTCCGGGAACCAGCTGCAGAGCTATTTCTCGGGAGAGCTGACCCCGCGTCAGTGCGAAGAAGTGGACAGCATCATTGAGAACATCCTCAAGGACGCCATCCGCAGCGCGGACACGCCCCGGCCCCACCCCGCGCCCGCCCACAGGCTGCCTTACAACGTCATCGAGGAAATCGCCGTCCAGTTTCTGTCTAAGCTTTTATCTGTGTTTCCCAATGTGGACAAGAAAAGAAACAAATCCCTAGAAACTGAAATGCAAAACATCATGTCCAAAATATTAACTTCCCTGCAAGAATTTATCTCGAAAAGTAAGATCCAGCTCGTACCACCAGCCAAGGCATTGGCGACTGTACCGTCATCTGACAATGAAACGATCAAACAGGTGGTCAATTCTGTCTACACCCGGGTGTTAAAGCACTCTGGCTCCCATACGTCCATCTTCAAGGACTTAAAGGGGAAGAGCAGTGCCCTCTCTGACATAATAGGCTTCCTGATGGTGAAGGAAATTTCCAATTCTAAATTTCAACCGCAAGGAGGGGAAGAAGTATCGAGCTCAGAACTGGGGCTGGAAGCTGTCAAAATTATGGAAAAGGTGGTCAAAATTGTTGAACTTAAGTCCCAGGACAGGTCTTCCTCCAAAAAAGGTTCCATGTTGGATGCCACGTGTTTAGAGGAAGCACTGGCCTTGTTCTTAGCCAAACTGGTAAAGTTGCCCAGTGCCTCAAGCAAAGATGCCAAGAACTTATCAAAGCCCGAGTTAAATAAAATTGCATCTCAGCTGACCAAATCTGTGTCGGCGGAGATTTCCAAAAGCAACATTAGTCTCGTTGCTGCTGACCCTGAGGGGCAGCTTTTAAACCCGGAAAGTGTTGAAATGATCTCTCAGATTATCGACTCTATTTACAGCAACGTGCTGATACAATCCGGGACCTACAAGGACCTTTACTACGACATCAAAGGCACCAACAGAGTCTTCCCCCAAAAGGTGGCCAATTTAATCATCGATGGCGTTTCCAGCGTTACCTTAGATACAGACACCGACTGCTCCAAGGATTCCCATGCGGACCACTTTGGAGATCTAGACGTGAACAGGATTGTCCAGAAGGCGCAAGAACACGCTTTCAAAATGAACGCTGACACGAAGAATGGAGCGGAAGAGTGGGGAGAGGAAACGCAAATTAAAATCGTCCCCCACATTGGGAACAAGCCCATCAAAATAGATCCCGGCATTCTTTCACAACACTTAGCAGTGATTTCGGTAAAAACTGAACCTCTTGAGAAGCTTCAGATGGAGTGTTTAAGAAACACCGGGCACAGCATAGCAGAAGTGAGAAGAGCATCGATGCAGGGGAGAAGTTATTCCTGCGCAGACACATCTAATGAGGAAAAGCTAAAGAAAGAAAGACGCACCTCGCTGAACAGGACCGGGCGTCTGGACATGAAACCCTTAGAGGTAAGTGTGAACGCAGCCGCAGGCAAACAGGTGAAGAGAGAGACGAGGTGGCCGTGGGACTCTCCTCCTCGAACGGGTATTTGGGATGCTTTCTGGTGTCGCTGCTGCGGCCCAGCCCAACGGGGGCGTTGGTTGTGCTGGTTCAGCCCTACAGTCATCTGACTTCCTGGGACTTGGCACGTGGTGGTTCCCTCTAACGGTCTCGGGCCAGTGTTCCTAAGACAATCCGTTTAAACGGTGTTGCTCTGTTTGTAAACAGAATGGGAGCACAGGGGCATACCCTTCACAGTAAAAGCAGGCTGACTGCGGCTATAATCTTCATGTGAAGATTCAGAAGAAACACAATCTCGTGCCGTTCCTGCAGTTCTTACCGTGGATGTCGAAAGGCGCCTCAAAGGGACAGCTAGGCTATCAGGACATAGGAAGGTTCAAAAACTACCTAAAGTAGCTTTAATTGCTCAGACTTGAAGCTCTCCTGCAGCAGCAACCTGCTGGCTTTTAGCAACGTGTCCACAAACATTAGGCGACAAACTCTTAGATTACACTCGTTTCTTACTATCCGACTTTCATTCGCCTTTTCCAATTTCTTCTATCCTGCAAAGAAGTACACAGTTCTTCCCTCCCCCTCCCCCCCCCCCGCTTTTCCTGGACCCAGCAGCCCTGATGCTACCACACTGACGACCCTGTGTCCTCTTTCTGTAGACCTAGCTCTGCCCTGCCGCTCACATTCAAGCCCCACATACACTAAACCGCCTGGGACTTTAAAATGCCAACATGAAGCCCTTGTTACAAGGAAACGATGCCCCTGAGGACAGGGGGTGTCTGGACAGTGGGGTGACCCTGACCCACTGCACATTTTCCTTCGTTATCAAAGCACCTGGTCGAATGGTGCTCGTTCATAGGACGACTAGGTGTGTCCAGGTATACAGTCTGTGGCCTGGAAAACTAGAAAAAAAATGGATAGGACCGTGCTCCCTGCCCTGCAGCCCACAGAACTCAGGCTCAGGGTTGGTAAATACATTACCGAGGGCTTTCTGTTTTTATACCCAAATAACTGAGTTTCTCGTGGGCTGAGACACTCATTTCATCTCCTTTGTCCTCAACTTTTTGGACCAATCCTTTCTGGCTCAAAATGTTCCTGTTCCATATGGGTTCTCATCATGGCTCTAGCATGCGACTTGGTAGTCTTCATCTATGTACAAGTACTCTCTCGGGAGTAAAAGAGTGTGAGCAGACTGTGGTGTAACACTACTCAAAATCAGTTTTTAATTATCAGTAGAATTCTCTGTCACAAATATTACCCTTAGTTGCCAGCTCTCTTTGCTGAAGTCATTTATAGACCAAAGAAAGCAGGAAGAGGCTACGTCAACCAAACAATTACCCCATCCTCTATCCTCTAAGGGGGAGAAAAGCCATCCTAAACATAAAACTTAGAAATAAAGAAGCAGACATAGCAAGCTCTGCTAAGACGTGTCACCTGCACCAATCTGGGTACCAATACAGTCTCTCTCCGCACAGAGGAAGGAAAGACAAAAGTCAGTGAATTAGATCAGAGAACCAGGCGACTGTCGGCTCCACTACGGGCTTTACTTTCTGCTCTGAGGTGACAAATTCCCAGCACACGAGGCGTATACATAATTAAAACCACACACAGTAACAAATCTCACAGCCACATAGAATAACTTTGGATTTTCTCAACCACCGGTTCCCTCCACTAACACAGAAAATCAAAATGGATTGTTTTAATTTCCTAAGAAGGCAGTTTCTATATATTGTTACATATTCCTTTAAGGCACTATTTTCTGAAAACGGACTTACCACGTTGCAAAGGCATGTTGAGGTCAACGATTATTAACTTAAGTCAGTTTAGAGGCTCTGTGGCATCGTCAAAGGCTACAAAAGTGGGGAAACTCTCTTATTTAATCATAGATATCTTTGAACTGTCTTTCAATGTGGAGAATGGAAAGTGAGGTTCAATGAGGGAGATGAGAGAAGAGTGGAGATGTATGTTCTAAACATTCTTTTGAAAAACATGTGTCCAAAGAACCAGGAGCAGGATAAGGATCAAAATCAAAACGTTCACAATTTTGGTATTAGCCTTTTAAAAATCAAAATTAGATAATAACAGTTTTTTATTGGGGAAAGAAAAGGTTACTCTATGGTTCCTTATCTAGAATTTTTGAAAAATAGATGATCACGGCTACTTCTGTTACAAAACTTTAGAAGTAAGTGGATAAAAAGTAAAATACCAAGTTTAAGAAAAAAGGACCTGTTATAGACCTTCTATACTTTGAAGTAAGTTATGGTAGATTAATATGATCTCTGAGTGTAAAAGAAGTTATGATAGACACCAAGTATGTCTCATAATTTCCATTTGATCCTTAAAATGCTACTAACATACAAGTGAGTGCTAGGGAAGGAAACAGTATTTAAATTGAAAACTATAAATCCTATTAACATGACTCTAAGACCATAGAACCATAGAAAAAGGGATGGAGGCACTTGTTTTTAATATTCTTTGTCACTTCAATTGCAGGCTGTTGGCCGAAATTCCTTTCAGAACCTAAGAAAGCCTGATATCAGCAAGGTGGAGCTTTTGAAAGACGTTCAGAACAAACAAGATCTTCTCATCCGATTAGTAGTTCATGATATTGAAGGTGAGTCAGAAAGTCACATGGGAGAGGAGGCGACCACTGATGACTATGAATTTGTTCTGAGAGAGGACATAAGAGAAGAAAGCTGTGAACTATGTGAGGACGAAGCTACGGAGGCAGATACGGAAAGCCCGGAGGCCACCGGAAAGCCTCCAGGAGGACCGACGGGGAGGGAAGTGAAGTGGCCCACCGCCGAGCTGGACCAGCCCACCCGCTCCTCCATCCTGGCTGTCACCAACTCCTTCTGGGGGAATGAGCCGCAGTGTGAGGTGAGTGAGGAGGGCTGCCGGTGACCCGACATGTATGGGAAAGGGGGAGATCTTCAGAAATTCTGTCCAGAATACTCCTTCATTAGGCAAAGTGGTTCCTGTCACTCAGGAGCCTGGTGATGTTCATAGGATAAGAGAAATGATGAACAGGCAAAGCCATAAAACTCAACCGAGGGAACGCAGGTCACAGAAGGAGACCTGGGTTAGTTAGAGGCCCCGGGAGGACATAAAATGGGAACCATGTGGGATAAATGAAAGCTAATTATTTATGTCTATTACTTAATGGACTCCAGCCTTTATTGTATTTTAGCTAATAAACACCCATTGAGGATTCTATGTAGAAAAGCCTTATGCAGGTAGGATATAACCAGAGGAAGGGCCAAGATAGGAAGAAAATAAAAGATCCACACAAATTCAGATGATCTAGGTTTGAATTGAAAATTATTTGAGGAAATAATGGCTCAAAACATCCCTAATTTGGGAAACGAAATAGACATGCAGGTCCAGGAAGCCCAGAGAGCTGAATGGAAGACCTGAAACAATAAAATTCCTTGCAACCTCCGTGACATCAGCCTAGATGTTATTGTGGATCTGACTACAAATGCAAATGAAACAAAGGAAAAAATAAAAGGGACTACAACAAAATAAGACTTCTGTACAGTGAAGGAAACCATTGTTAAAACAAAAAGACAGCCCAGCCAGCATGGCTCAGTGGTTGAGCATCGACCTATGAACCAGGAGGTCATAGTTCGATTCTCGGTCAGGGCACATGCCCAGGTTGTGGGCTCAATCCCCAGTAGGAGGTGTGCAGAAGGCAGCTGATCAATGATTCTCTCTCATCATTGATGTTTCTATCTCTCCCTCTCCTTCTCCCTGCCTCTCTGAAATCAATAAAAAAGAAGACAACCCACTCACTAAATGGGAAAAGATATTTGCACATCATACATCCAACAAGGGGTTAATATTCAAAAATATATAAAGAACTCATGCAACAATAAAAAAAATAACCCAACTGAAAATGGACAGAGGATCAAAATAGACATTTTTCAAAAGAAGACATACAAACGGGCAATAGGTACATGAAAAGATGTTCAACATCACTATTAGAATTGCAAATCCAAACCACACACCTGTAGAATGGCTATTATAAAAAAGATAGGAAATAATAAATGTTGGGGAGAACGTGGAGAAAATATAACCCTTGTATACTGTCGGTAGGACTGTAAGTTGATGCAGCCACATGGAAAACAGTATGGAGGTTCCTCAAAATATTAAGAATAGAACAACCACATAATCCAGCTGTTGTTCTACTTCTGGATATTTATCTGAAGAATATGAAAACACTAATTTGAAAAGATATATGCACCCCCTATATTCATGCAGCACTGTTTAAGGCAGCCAAGATATAGAAGCAACCCAAGTGTCCAACAATGAATGGAGAGATAAGTTGTGGCTACATATATAGGGAATACTATTCAATAATAAAAAATAATGAAATCTTGCCATTTTGACCAAATGGATGGACCTTAAAGGTGTAATGTGAAATGAAATAAGTCAGAAAGAGAAAGATAAATAACATGTGTTTCACACATGTGAAAATTTTTAAAAAGATTAAAAGCAAAAAAAAAAAACATAAAGAAACCTAATAGATGCAGAGAACAGATAGGTGGTGACCAGAAGTTAAGAGGGTAGGACTGGTGACAGGGGTCAAAGGGGTCAATTGGATGGTAATGGAGAGTAACTAGACTTAATGGGGGTGATCACTTTTTAGTGTATACACATGTTGAATTACAATGCTGTATACGTGAAACTTGCATAATAATATTTTTAAAGAAATGTTGTTGTATTACATTAGCAAAAGTCAAAATATATTGTGAGTAATGTTCCCAGTCATAATAGCCTTTTTGGAGATTCAGAATAAAGGTATTCTCATAAATTCACATATGACTTCCCAGCAAGCAGATGAAAGTGCCACTCACAGTGACTGACCTGGTAGCTTCTGAGATTGACCGGGATTATATCTATTCCCTTTATGTTTGAAGCCAGTAAAACCTGATTAAAATACTAGTGAAGTGCAGAAGTGGAAAGCTAATATTCTTCAAACATCGTGCAAGGTTTATCTTTAAAACCCATTCAAACTCCTACATTAAAATACCATCTTCACTGAGCCACCGCCCACGGATTCCATTGGAAAGAGACATTTTAATCAGAACAATGGGTTCGTCCATCTTTCCAATAATCCCTCAGGCGCGCCCTCACGCTGTGCATGTGAGTGCCTGATGCCTGGGTTCCACCTTTGCAGAAAGAAGACAGGGAGTCCACGGAGCCGATCCACCACCTCATACACAGGATTATGAGCACGTCCTCCTACAACCAGGAGGACCTGGGCTCACCTGCCAGGTACGTGGCCGCAAAGCAGCACGGGAGGAGCCATCGGAGGGGAAGGGCTGGGTCGGGAGAACGGGCCCTGGTAGAGCCACGATGGCGCCGTGGCTCAGTCCCAGGCCTTCCCTCCCGGAGCCCCCACGGTGGCTGCTCCCAAAGGCCTCCCCTTCCCACGTGACCCCCATGTTGATTCCCGGGGCCTCTATGTGTCTGGGATCACGATGTCCGAGCGTCTTGTTTCCCTTCATTACTTGTTCTCACCGGGAGATAGGCCCCCGGTCCCAGCGGCCTCTGCAGCGCCTGCCGAGGCTGCCCGCTCAGACCCCCTGCGTGTCCGCACGTCCCTGCGACCGCCTGTAAGAACCACCCGGGGAGAGAAGGGCCGCGCGGGCTGGAGGCTCCGAGGTGACGGCTAGGGAGCACGGGAGTTTGCTGAGCGACGGGAAGGATGGACGGCAACTGCATGAGGAGGAGACACCCAAGTCAGGCTGACTAGGAGGACAGAGCACAGCACTTACTAGTTAGACCTGCCATCTATCTGATAACCAGGCCTAACGCGGTTCAAGTTTGTCTAAAAGGCTCTAAGTGCGCACACAGGCGTGCGCTGCAAGAGGCAGCGTTCTCCGTCGTGGGAGCGCAGTGGGTAGAAGGAGAAAGAGATTCCTGTTGCCTTCCCCCCCCCACCCCCCCAGCACGAGGGAACTGTTTCTTCTTGATTTTTTTTTTGCAACGCCCCCTCACACCCCCTTGGGGAATTTTGTGTCCTTGGCCCACCCTTTTCTTTTTTGCTTGCCTTTCATTCCGCACGATGGTTCCTTAAACACTCATACTTGTCACGCAAGCACCTCCTCCTGCTGGTAGCAAAGATGAGGACCCAGGCACGGAGTGAACCAAATCAAAGCCAAGTTCGGGCAGGATGGGAACGGGAAACTGCGGGCCTTTGTTTGCCAGGCAAACAGCTGCCGACACAGCAACGTCACAGGAGTCCGGAGGCCCGCCCAGGGCCAGCAGCGACCAAGTGAAGGCCCAGTGAGCGAGCGAGCGAGAGCCACATTCACCCTGGAGGGAAATCCCACAGGGTGCACTGGCCCTTCCCCGGCGTGTCCTGCACCAGGCACGGCCCGGTTGGGTAGAAAGAGCCCAAATCCCGGTTCCTCCCTTGGGGTGGGAAGGGTAGGTTTCCACTTGACAGCAATATCCCGGCCTATCTGTAGACGTTCTGAGGGACGGGAGATGCTCCCGTCTCCCCTGAACAGAAGCGCAGCCGGGGTGGTGGCTGGATGGTCTAGGCCTGGACACCCCAAGGCAGTGGATGGGGGCCCCGGGCAGGAACATCCCAGGGGCAGCCAGTGCCTACCCACCTGAGAGCAAGGGGCAGGCCATTGGCCGAGGAACACACTAGAACTCCTAAGGTCCTACGTGAGGGACACACTAGCACTCCTAAGGTCCTGTGTGAGGACACACTAGCACTCCTAACGTCCTGTGTGAGGGACACACTAGCACTCCTAAGGTCCTACGTGAGGGACACACTAGCACTCCTAAGGTCCTGCGTGAGGGACACACTAGCTCTCCTAAGGTCCTGCGTGAGGGACACACTAGCACTCCTAAG